GTGTCATATGTGGGAATAATAACAGTATATTGATGTGAGCACAGAAAAAATGGAGACAAACAAATRCAAACTGGCAGTCTGCAAATATTACATAATGATGTATTAAATCTGCTACGATATGTATGACATCATTTGCATATGAAATGGTTCAGATTTCATCCACGAGATCTGAACTTTGAACGTGYTCTTGTGAAAACTCAAGTTGCTCAACACGACCGTTTGCTTTATTTCTATAACAAACACAGGAGGAGGTCAATGTGAGTCATTTAAGGGAGAAAGAAACAATTTCTGATTTCTGTTTCATTTGCTGGTGCGTGCAGATGTGCTCCTTCAGAGWAACTAACAGTTAGATGAAACTAACATTTCATTATTGAAAAGGTTTTTTTTCACTTTTTTATATAAAACAAGTTCCATTTTTCTGAAATATTCCTAAAATAAACTGTTTAATGAACTCCAGTCAGCCTAAACATCTGACTTTAATCACTGGGGTGCCGTTAGATGATGTCTTTTTTACATTTGCTGTTTTTATGTTTTAAAAATTGGTCCCAAGTGCTCACACCCACTAACAGATTGCATTTCTGTTCAAACTGAGCCTCTCCATTCACGAAACAACCTCAACGAGGATATTAAACAAGCCGTGACATTACCTCCTCTGTGAGAAATGTTAAGTTTGGTCCATCGAAAACAGAGTTTAATTTTGAGGCCAAAGACAGGGAAGTTTATTTTTGTTCTGACCTTAGTGCTGTGCTATCATTTAACCTTTGTTTTACCAGACAAGACATTAAAAACAGGTTTTTATTTACAGTGCTGGCCTGACCAGTGTCTGAGTTTTACATAAAAATGTTAGTGAGTAAAACTTTAAAGTGCCTGTGACATCAAATTTTGTAATAAGTGTTAATCAATTTTTGGAAAGATTATACTGATAGCATGTTGAAAAAGAAATTTTACGCTGCTGAGGTGAAAAGTCGTTGAGATATTTGCATGTAAAGTAACAGGAAGTGATGTCAAAGGGGAATGTCTGAATGTGGACACAGACAGATGAGTTTAATGTATTTTTTAGGTTATTTTGAGTCTTTATCAGAGAAAAATGAAGCAAAGTCAGAGTTTAAATAATATTTCATTGAACAAAAATGGAGTTTTCTTTCTTGAAGAGTTCCCCTTTGATGTCACTTCTTGCTTCACTTTAGTTGAAGCCAAATTAAGAAGAAAATATGTCAGTTACATGATAAAACAGGTAAAATTGTCTGTATGCCAAATTTCTAAAATATAAAAAAATGTTTTATTTGACTGGTTGTATTTGAAGGACAAAACTTATCACTTGTGTTTATAAATCAGAAAGTAAGAACAGAAGCTGCTCCTGTTTGTTACCTCACAGCACAAAGACACTGGAGGTTTGCATATTCTTTCTGTGCATGTGTGGGTTTTATCTGAGTAATCTGTTTTCCTCCCACAGTCTAAAAACATGCATGTCTTTATCATCAGAAATCCTAAATTCAAACCATGTGTGCCACAGTAAAAAGATAAGAGAGACTGAAATACAGCTTGTTGATTTTTATCAACTTATTACAAAAGAAATGTCTTACATAACTTCAAAAAGAGAGGACAGATCAAGCAACTGATCTGCAATTTAAACAACAAATAAAATAAAACAAAAAATGCAGATAAAGACAGATCATAACTGGGAGTCTGTATCACTGAGAGGGCAGCGTGACAATAAACCAACGTTAAATCAGGACACCTCCAAGGACCTGCAGTTAAACTTGTTTTTCCATAACAGTGTGAGTGTTTGCACGCATGGCTGTCACATCCAGTCAGAATCACAATCATCAGCTGCCCAGAGATTTAAAGGAAGTCAGGCTGTGGTGCACTGAAGCATGCAACAAACAAGTCGGTGGTTGTAGACTGGAGTTTGACATCTTTTAGTTTTATTTTGTAATCAGGAATTACAGAAAACTAAAGAAAAAACAACAACTTAAGAACTAAGAATGACTGTAAAGTTGCAGAAGGAATGTGTAGCGACAAGAAAAATGACTGGAAGAACTGGACTCCTGTTAACTCCTACCTCTTTCACAATCTGTGTTTGTGTAGATATTTAGAAAAAAGTTTGTTAAACCCACATTTAAATCTAATTCACCCTGTAATGGATACAAATTTAAAAGTTTTTAAATTGTTTTTATCTGTTACATCATCTGCTTTAAAATAATTCATCGACTACCAGCAAACATTTTTATTCTGTTTCGGTGCATTCTTTTTTTCACAATTAGCATTTTTTGTTTGAGAAAAAAAAGTAAATTTAGACTTCTGAATGCAAAACAAGAAACCTGAACAATTTATTTTTATAAAAAAATAGGTTTGAAATATTTTAAAAAAATAAAGTTAGCACAGGAGCAGCAGTGTGATTTTATTTTTAGAGGTCTGATACAGAAAAAACTGGTTTGACTCTCAAACAGGCTGGATTAAAAATGTCAAACTTGGTGTAGGTTCTTACCGTTGTGCTGCACATCTGYCCTGAAGTCATCCTGACAGCCATCATCTATCAGTTTGGAGTACATCCGGTCAGGGGTGGTCCCGGTGGTCGACATCTCGCCTCCTAAACAAACTAAAAACTGCTGTCAGGAAAGAGTGAGAGAACTTTCCTCCTCCTCTCTCTCACTATAAACAAATGTTTTCCAGTAAAGTTAAACATCAGGGAGCACATTAAATGTTCCTGCAGGACTTTCACAATAAAAGTCTTTTATAGGTTGCTTTTATTTAGTTAAACTAACAGATTTCAGTTTAAATGGATGCAAATCAGCTATGAGATTTAAAGAAGCCCTAAATTACACAAGAGAAAGTGACTTAAAAGTTACATTTCAACAACAAAAACCAAACAAACAATTTTAAAAAACTTTTTGAATTATTTATTCTGATTAACTTGTCCATTTTGTTCAGAAAAAAGAGTAAAAATTCTGCTCTTCATGTCACCAAATACTCAGAAAATGATGTTTGAATAACTGGCTCCAATTTTTATTTAAACCCTGAATGTAAAAACACAGAAATATTAGTACTTCTTATGGTAATTCTATCAGAAATGTATTTTAACATTAGATTTAGCATTTGATTTCATTTGTGCTCATAAAATAAAATCACTTTCTAACTGACAGCAGAATGAAAACACATTTTTAAAATAAAACAGGACCTGTTTATTTGTGTAACGTATTAAATAAAATGATGATCAGTTCTTAATCTTAATGTTTTAAGAAGAATAAATAGTCTCTTTAAATAAATCAGCACTTCTATCAGGGACTAAATTACTGACAGCTGCACAGCTGGGTCACAGTATTTCCACAGCTGCGGTTTTCGTTGTTGAAATATTTTCGGCCTGCAGGAGTCAGGAGGTCCTGTCAACAACAGAACACCAGTGAACCGTTAAAAATAAAGTCCTGAACACGGGGAGGGAGTTCTGATCCAACGTGTCCAACCAAACAGAAAGAACTTATTGGTGATAATTGTTGCACCTACAGAAGCAGGACACCAGGGTGCATTATGGGAATGTTTGTTCTGCTGGGGAACTTTGGATCCTCCTGTTCCTGTGACTGTTTCAAACTTATCACTTACATAAGAACTGTCATTAAACATMCAATGCAATGAAATGTTAATTCAGACATATGGATGGTCCTTCATCAGAGTTAAACAATAAAAACCTGAAGCTCCAATGTTTAATAGTTCTTGAGTTATAAGCATTTTTGAATGTCCAGACACCCCCTGTTTAGATGGATCCCCCTCCTCAAATATGGGGTCTATCATAAAACCATTGGCTGGTACAGTGTAAGTTGGACTCATCTACATTCCTGCCAAATTTCATGTTGAAAGGTGCAGCCATTTCTGTGATAACCACCAATAAATAAATAAATAAATAAATAAATAAATAAATAAATAAATAAATAAATAAATAAATAAATAAATAAACAATATGATACCCACTTTGCATGTAAGGGTTATACAGTAATAACCGTTTTATTTGATGTTTTTTCATGAGGATCGGTTTGATGGTTTTTCCTCCTCTATCCTGCAGAGGGAAACAAACTCCACAGAAAAACACCTGAGCTGAATGGATGAATCAAAGGCTCCAGAGCTGATTTTTATTGTGATCTGGAAAAAAACAACCAAAAATGTCCCATCAGTGGTCTATGAGAAGAATCAGTGCACAGACGTTAAACCTTTTATATGGTTTTATTCACATGTCCGGATGCACAAGCTGTCATTTGTGACAGTCAACATTTAGGTGAAAATCAGTAATGTGAGAAATTGGTTAGAAACATAGTAATTTGTTACATTTTTTGAAATGTGTCAGAATAAATGTTCCTGAATGTGTTCAGTTCTGAAGATAAATTTTCCCTGATCTTCTGTTTGTTTTGTTGTGGGCTCAACCTAACTGTTCATGCTGGAAAAAAAATCAAAGGAAGCTAATTTTTCCCAAAGTAAGTGAACGTTTCTTAAACTACTTTTACATTTAAAATAAAAATATATTTTTCATTGAAAGTCCTTTAATTGTGACCATTACTCACAATGGTTGTATGCAAGGGAAACTTCTGCCTTACAAACACAGGAAGACTTGCATGCACACAAAAACCACTCATATTTCTAACTGCAGTCCTGCAGAAGTTGCTTCTCCTCACGTGTTCACCTCATCCTCCAGCTGACTCCACCTGAAGTCACGTGAGCATTAGAGMGTCTAGATTAAACATTCTTTTTCTTGAAATAGACACATCCAGCTCCAGCCAAAGAGCTTAAATCAAACGTTTAGCTTCAATCTGGTTGTCGTCAGGTTTCCATGCCCGCTGTCTGTTTTGCACGGCTGCCAAATCCTCCTTACGCTACCCTGCGTCACCACCTTCACTGCTTCTTTCTRTGGCTGCCGGTCTCTGTTCCCTCACCTAATCCTCTGCTCCTTTCAGGGGGAGACCTTCCTTTCTTGGAACTTAAATCTAAGCCACATTGGGGGTTAAAGGTGACATTGTGGATTGTGAGAGTGAAAGGTTTGTCTACAGGGACGAGGAATGAAAACTGTTAATCCAATAAATCTACTGTCTGAAGCCTATGGGAACTCTAAAAGAGGAGAAATAATAAAAGCCGTTTCGGGTGCAGGAGTGAGAATCAAACTCTTTCAGATGTGTTGCACTGTTTCAGCTCAAACATTCGAGATGATAAATCACATTTGATAGACTCTTTAAGGTTCAGTGGTAAAAAAAAAGTTGCACAGTACAAACAAAAAGGAATCATTTTTCCTGTTTACCACCTTCAYTTCTTCCCATTCTTCTTTATATGATAAAAATATATATTTGAGACAAATAATAATAAATAAATGTTGACATGCTTTTGTGGTTTTGACAGAAAACTCTTTGAACACAGATACATAAAACTAGATACCACGGTAGCATATGTGACCTCCACACATCCGCAAAGCACCAATGCACCAGAACTCAGAACTCACCAGAAAAGATTTATTGTTTTGGGTGGGGGTCCGGAAGGGGTGGGGAGGTGGGGACCTCATTGGTGGGCCCGATGGATAGCCCTTCATCAGAGCTAAACAACAAAAATATCTGTAGTTTAAATAAATAAATAAATAAATAAATAAATAAATAAATAAATAAAAGTTAGTGAGAAGGTTCTGTAGCTGCTGGATCATGACTGAAACT